TTTTGTCCGTCAATATTAGATAATGAAATGGTCTCGAATACACCAGGAAGGGAATCTGGCCAAAGAATAAACATAACAAATTTTACCTGAAGTTCCGGTTATGATCAAGGACGAGGGCTACAATTTTCGGTGCTGTTGAGATGAAATTTAGGAGTGCAATGAACTGAAAAATGTATTTTTGTCAGATTTTCTAGTTGCTCTAAAGGCCATTATTATATGCAGAAGGTCACATATTTTACACGGTGAAGGGGATCTGAATGGCTATTTAGGGGGCCAAATCAATCAAAACATAAAGTGACCACATGCTTATTTTTTGGATTAAATATTCACATCGGAAAAGCAAGATTTGGAAAATATGCCAGGTTTAGAAAGTGGTGCTGTTGAACAATAATCGGTCAAGAGGGTAAAAATATCGCGAAATAGAATATAGAGTATAGTTTCGCAGAAAGTTGTGTGGGGTATTATATGTTGGGCGCGTCCGACTGTTTTTTTATTTTGTTTCAAAGCATCAAAACTAAAAAATATTTTGTATTATTTATATATTATATACGAAAATTCTTTGGCGTTTGGAAAGATCAGTACTAAAAAGTGGATTTGTATACCCTCCAATACAAGGCGAAGTCTATATTTAATATTCCCCGGTGAACACATGTATTATCTTTTATATTCTCGATATGAATAAAACCCTATACCTATTTAGCAAAGTTCAATATATAAAATTGAGTTTTGAAATACATTCTACTACTCCTAGGATGTTTCATATAAATGTGCCAAATTTTCCGAAGGAGCTAGAGTTTGTCATTCCGACTTTTTGAGAGGTAAAGTCCCTCTATACCTGAAATAGACCGCAATCGAAGAGCATGTAATTTTGCATATTACAGACAATTTCGAAATGGGTAATATAGTCACCAAACAAAGATCCTGCACATTTTATTTTTAAGATTTTAGTTTGGTTCAGCAAAATTTGCCAAGCCCAATTACCAACATAAGTGTTTTTAATTTTGTACCACATATTCTCAGGGATTAAATTACAATTTCGAATATAGGTACATGTTTTGATTAGATAAGAATACCCATTGATTTTAGGGAGTTGATGTTGAAATTCCTAGCCCAATTTCAAAACTAAGTGCATTTAAAATAAAAAATTACAGACAAAAATTTACAATTCCGAATATAGGTCAACGTTTTGATTAGATAAGAGCGTCCATCGATTTTAGCTACTTTGAATGAACACCACTTGGTGTAGGATATAACAAGATCTACCCGGCCGAACTTAACTTCGTTATTATTTGTTCCTTCATTTTTCTTGAAGGACTTTAACAATGGATTTCAGAATAATTGAGGGATGATCAAACGTATAAACTTTTTTTAATCTGAATGGATTAAGCATACAAAAGTGGCACCCAAAGAAGGGTTTCCCTGTGCCAGATCTGAATTTAGAACTAACAAATTTTAAAAATGGAAAATATCTTCTTATATTGATACTTTCCACATTTAATGGATTATTTTATCCCACTTTTTGTAAAAGATTCTCGAGGGACCCAAAAGGGTTAATTGAATAAAAAATAATTTAGTATTAAATTTCGCTACTATAACATGACAGAAATATATAGCATATCAAATTATTTTTTCTACAAATATATATGTCTGTATGTTTATGTATACCTCCCCTAGTCACCTCCTGGGCTTCATTTCCATCTGGCAAATTGGGAGCACACATACAACGACAACAACAACAACTCAAACTGAAATGTTAAAATATTAATTGTTTCATTAAATATTAATAAAGACACGAAGTGAAGATGAACTTAAAACACAATTTGTATGAGTGGCATGGACACAAGAAAGGGGGAGAAAGGAGAAAAGTGGGGAAGAAATAGGAGAAACGAAAAGAAAATACCAACAGTTGACAGCAGCTATGTTTTAGGCATTTTCTATTTCTTAACACACGAATGGCTTTCGGTTTTTTTTGTTGCCGGTTGGTCCTCGTCTCTCTCCCTCTCTAAAATCCATTTGAACTTGGCAAAAAGTCTAACACAAGGAGCTGTTGGCAGCTAACAGTATTACTGCGCATTAAGAGTTCCCTGGAGACAAGGACGGACAGAAGTAGTAGCAGCAGCTGTAGATGTAGTGGCCAAACAGGCCGAGTTGTAACTGACTGTGTGCGGCGGAGTAAGGAAAGGAGTTGAAAAAGTGTTTTTAATGGAAATCCGCCATAGCAAAAATATGGCCAATGCTTACTAAGTGGTCCAACAATTTGAACCTTATTTTCTCTCTCTCCCTACTCACACACACACAAATAAAAGAAAATATCAACAGTTTATGTGTGTGTGTGAGAAATGTTGTAAATATATAAAATCTCTAATCGGATTATGTTTAACAGAAAATTACAAAAAGAACACAAACAACATTAGCTACATCGTAATCAGGACAAGAGTGAAACGGTAGCCATTGCTAGCTGGCAGAGGCCACATGGGCACTCAGCTGCAGAAAAACAGGACCATTTCTAACAAGCGTACCAAGAAGGAGAAGAAGCAGAATACAACACATGCCTTTACTTTTGGGGGCACTCATTTACGCTTGACTTACTGCCCTGTGAGACCCTTCATTTCCCCTCTACCCTCTCTCAGAATTTTTTTTAAACCAGGCCAAGCAAGTGTTTTCCATATTGGCTTGGAAAAACATCTGCAGCCTTCTACCAACCAAAAAGCAGAGAAAATTAAAATTAAATTTTGCAATTTGTAAGTCATTATTTATTTAAAACAAATTGAAAATTAATTTCGCATAGAGTCCGAAATTTGCCCTGCACGAATGCCCGGCATGGAGAAGTTTTGTACAGAAATTATAATGATCATCCTCATGCTGGCGATGAAATATAAATGTTAACACTTTTTTCTTAATTTTGTTGTTGTTGTTGCTGTTGATGTGTTATTTTATCCTTCCGGAGAGTGGAAGAACTCCCCACTCCCCCTGTCCCCCAAGCGACGAATTGCAATTCAAATTGGATCTGTTGCTAATGTCCACTACTGCAATGGTGGGAGGTGAAAAATATACATTTTTAATTGTGTTTAAGGTTGGTAATGAAAGCCTAAGGTCATCACCAGCCATCACCGAATGTGAGTGTTTACTGGCCACTCATTACCTTCATTACAGCGGCGCTATATTTACCCCAGGTAAAACAGTGATTATGTACAATGTACAAATAAGAATACATAACAAGGATATGATGGATGGATGAATATATGTTCCATGAGAGTGGGGTTGTGTGTATGTGTTTGTGCTCAAAAGCAGTGATGATTTAATTATTTGTAAATAAAAAACATAACATAAAATGATGAAATTATTTATACACAATTAATGAAAATAAAACATGCCGTCAGTTAAGGGGTGGGCTGGCTAGGTTTTGTATAAAAAATTAATATGTAAGAGAATTTGAGAATTTTGCATTTAAGAGCAAACAACAAATCAATATGGACTGAGGATTTTCTAAAAAAAAACAAAAAAAAAACAAATCTAATATAAGAAAATCTTACAAAATGTTCCTCGGAACCGCTGATTTTTATAAAGACAATTGTTTTTATAAAAAATATGTTCAGGGCTCCAGAAAATGTTTGCTACAGATCATTTTTAGAACGAAGAACCTGTTAGGTTCTTTAAAAAAAATCCTTATGATCTAAGAATATTGTTGAAATAGTCGGTCCTCAAGCTAAATTTCCCTCTTCATGGTCTTATGACTTTATAGTTAGCTGCTTTGTGCCGCGAGTTCATCTATGTAAGAACTATAAAAAAATGGGTTGAGACCTCGGGTTAGTTACCCTGTAGTTTTTCCTGTCTTCAGTGTCCTCGTGTTTTTTTAACTGACATCGCAGGGAGGTCTTTGTCCACAATAAAGATGAAAGAGGGGTCTAGATAAGCCTGGGCTCTGCTATCTTAAAGCCTTACATTAACTTCTATTCTATATAAACATTTAATCTCCAGGATCTGAAGACATTTTCGGACAGAAGAAACTTGTTCTCAGAATTATAAAAAAATGTTTTTTATGGCTCTGAAGAATTGGCTTCTGATGACAAAATCGTATTTTGGTTTCTAACAATTTTCTATTGAAAAAAATATCCTCCTTAGGTTGTGTAGGATTATAACAAAATATCTAGTAGATATATTACTAGAGAAATGATTTTTATGGAACCTGAGAAAATTTGCAACGAAGCAATCCATGCTTTCAGAAATACAAAAAATTATTCAGGGTTGAGGTTGAGGAAACATCTATTATCTGAGTCTGAATAAATCTGACCTGGAAGCATGAGAAAATATGTTGAAGTCGGAGTATTTTTTTCTTCGAAAAAAAAATCTGCCCTACGTGTCGGGACATGTATGTTTTTGAAAAAATATCTTCACTTAAATCGAGGATAATTTTTAATAGAAAATATATTCAGTGGAAGGCTCTTCCAGATTCAGAGAAGTTTCCTTCTATAAAAATATTTTAAATAAAAATAAATCTGTGATATCTTTCTTTAGAACAAATCTTTCCTCCGCAGGATCAACAAACTTGTATTTTTATTTATTTTTGTGCAGCCCCAAGAGCTTGTAACGCCGCGAAATATTGGTCTTAGACCCACTTTTAAGTATACCGATCGTCATATATCGACTAGCTGAGTCGATCTATATATGTGTGTCCGTCCATCTGTCCATTATAATTTGTAAACACGATACAGGCCACAGTTATGGACCAATCTTCACGAAATTGTGCATGTATAATGGATTTTGCCCAATGAAGACTCCTATAAAGATTTAATATTTAGGGGATAAAATGGACCAAATACTTAATTTTTGTCGGTTTTTTGGTCGCTCCAGAGTCCAGAAATTACAAAAATATTTTTTTGTATGTACCACCCTAATACATTAAAACTTTCAACAAAAAAATCTAAAACATTTAAAACTTTCTACACTTTTCAAAACACATCTAATTTTCTTTACGATTTCTTCTTATTTTGTTGTTACAGATACCAGCTATTCGTATCATCCTGCCATACATGATGAAACTTTTGTGCGTCGTAAACAACGACGAAATCGTACAACATTTACACTGCAACAGGTAATTGATGTGAAAAAATGTACTCCCCCTATTCCTCCCCTAAAAATTTTACAGGCTCTTAAAACTACAAAAAGTTTTCACGACACTTGACTTCACTTAAATCGTTGTATCCTCGTTTCTTTTGTTTCTTTTGCAGTTGGAGGAACTTGAGACTGCATTTGCCCAAACTCATTATCCGGATGTTTTCACACGTGAAGATTTGGCAATGAAAATTAATCTTACGGAAGCTCGTGTACAGGTGAGAGAATAGAGAAAAATCATAAGGGATATTTTTTACTAAAAACAACAACCAAACAAACAAAAAATGGCAAATAAAGAAAGTGAACAAAATATGGAAGATTCTCTATCAAATATTTAAGGATTAGTTTAAAGTGAAGTGCACAAAAAAATGGCAGAGCTGAAAGTTGAAGGACCAGATAAGAAAATGGAAATCCAAAATACATTTGGCAACATTTATTTTGTTAACAGAAATAAAAAAACTATGAAAATTGTATCAAATTTCATTTGTTCACTTGCTGTGCTGTTCACTTTTGATTTTTGGACCACTCAGATTATGCATTCATATTTCCATCAACCATAACGACCCTTTCTTTTTGTCTACTCACCCCCAGCCTCGGTTACAAGCACAGGCGCACACTCTCACGGACAAACACACGTTCATCTCTCAGACATTCACTTTTGCTGTTGTTGTTATTATTATTATGCATGTCCTTTTGTAGGACTTATAAATGGATTGGAGTTTTTGTTTTATTTCTGTTGTTGTTGTTGCTTTACTTTAAAATATGTCATGCATTGTGATCAAAAGGATTTTCAATTGTTGTTGTTGTTGTTGCTGTTGCTGTTTTGTCTCCTGTATTCAAGAATATTCAATTTTGTTAATGTTTCTGTTCTGCTTCGTTCGACGTCTTCCAACTTTCTCAACTCGTCCATTATAAATGTTGAGACGATGATGATTTATGAATGTTTTTTGTCTTTTCTTTTTTTATAAAAATTATTTGCATTTTGTAAATTTTATGCAATTTATTTTATTATTCAAAACAATAAAAAAGCAACAAAAAGTAAAAAATATTTCGTATGTAAATGCAATGAAATCGACAAATTGGGATTAAAACAAGGAGAAATAAAAATTGGTATTGAAATTGAATTTTACACAAATAAAAAGGGTTGATTTGATACCTAAAAGCCGAATATCCCAAAAATATCAGTTATTTCTAAAAATCTAGCTAAAGCTCTACAGAGAAGATAAAGGGACCTTTTCTCTCATAGAAAGTATAGGCCTATGTTTATACATAGACCCAACATAAATGTCCCACACCTACCTCGGTATTTAAAGATTATCTGTGTGTTCCATCTTAAGGAATTCTAATTAGGCATTCCGGGTTCCTGGTGAATAAAAAACTAAACATTTTCAATATTTTGAAATTGTATATGAAATACGTGTTGGGAAGTGGTGCTGATGTATAGAAATAGTGTTAGAAAATCGTACTTATGTGTAGGAAAGGTACTAAGTGGTTGGTTAGGTACTAGTTGCATTTAGTTGAGCGTATAGAGATGGAATCCCAAAAATAGGAATTGTTGGAGTACAGGATTGAGGTAGCTTAAAAAATCGTACGAAAAATACTAAATGGTAGTAAATTTGGTACAAGTTGGATTGGAACAAATAGAGCTGAAGTCTTGAAATTGGGAATTAAAATGACTGTTGGAGTATAGGATTGAGGTAGTTTAGGAAATTCGTATTTCGTATGTGTACGAAAAGTACTAAACGGCGCTAGATTTGGTACAATTTGGATTTGGATAAACGGAGAAAGCTGGAAACGTACAATTTGGAATAATTGTTGCTGTTGGAGTGTAGAATTGAGACATGGAAGTATAGTACTTATGTGTACTAAATGGTACTATATTTGGTACATCTTGATTATGTGTGAACGGATAGAGCTGGATTACAGACTTACTGTTAGAGTGTAGGATTGAGACATGGAGGTAGCTCTGAAAATTCGTAACTAAGTGTACCAAATTTGGTACACTTTAGATTTGAGGGAACGGACCTATCTATCCGTGCACTCCATAGATAGGTAAACTATTATTTGGAATTAAATTAATTTTAGAGTACATGATTGAGGTAGTCTTGGAAATTCAATTTTATAAGTACGAAAAGTAATAAATAGGGTACAAATTGGGATCTATGGGATCCTGAAATTTATGATTAAAATTACTGTTGGAGTGTTGAATTGAGGATTATTTGAAAAATCGTACTTACGTTCGTTTACGAAACTTAATAAATGTTACTAAATTTGGTATAATTTGGATGTGGGTGAAAGGATAGTACAATTTGGACATTGGTAAATGGGTAGAACTGGTACCCTGACATTTACAACTATTATAACATTCCTAAAGTACAAAATGGTGCCAAATCTGTTACAGTTTGGATAGAGCTGGAATTTGTAAATTGGGACTTACGGTTACTATTTGAAAGCATGATTGAGGTAGTTTTGGAAATTCGTACTCATGAGTACGAAAAGTACTAAATGGTAATAATATAAATTTTAGTACAACAAAGTATACAGTTTTCACGATTTCCATTTAAAATATTACAGTGAACTCTCGATAATGTGAGCTGACATTAAAGTATTGGAAAAAATCGGGAATTCACGGTAATTAGCTGGTCGAATCGAAAATTTGAACAAATTCGAAAATATGAACTACCCCGACATGAATTAATTCATATTATCAAGAGTTCACTGAATTTATTTGTATTGCATTCCCTTTTCGCATACGAAGTACCGGGCGCTTTGCTAGTATTCTATAAAATAAAGGTATCTCCAGATCCCATGAATTTTTTTCCATAAAAAAAATTATCTTAGGATAATGATCTTGAGGTCCTGAAATTCTATTCTATAAAATAAAGGTAGTATCAGATTCCGATGATTATTCTCTTAATAAAAAATTATCTTAAAATTCAGAAGATTTAACCCATTAATGCCTGTCCATAGAACCCACGGTACATTTTTTCAAAATTTATGAGTAAGCTAATACAGGTCATAGAAGTTGCGTTTCAGCATAATGGGTTAATAAAAATATAATATTTTGGAGCGAAAAATTGTTCAGAGAAAGGTATACCTCAAGGACTGACAATTTTCCTCCAATAGCACTACAGAATAAGGTAGTTTCAGCCTTTAAATGAATTTTCTCATGATAGAATGTATTATCAGGACTTGTGGATTTTTTCTATAGAAAAATTCTATACTCAAGAAGAAATTTGATTCATTTCCCTGAGATTATTTGATTGAAAAATGTATTCTTATATTTCGGGATTTTAAATATACATTCCCTGGAAATGTTGACAAAAAATTGTCTCAGATCATGAAAATTTTTTCTAATGAAAAAATATCGGTGGTTTTTGGATTTATTTATATACACCTGTAGATGTAAATTAATCTATTCATTAAAAGAACAGCAAACATATTTAAAAAATAATCCGTACCATTACATTCTTATAGATGATTTAGATAGCTTCCATTGAGAATGCAAATAAGAAATTTAAAACATATTAAATTCCTAATTAATATGTTTACAGTTGTTACACTTTTGGCAAATGACATTGTAATAAACCTTAAAGAAAATCTACTCACCTCATATTATAATGAATGGCCAACCTAGCCGGTCATTCAAATTGTAGCCAATTATTGTTAAACGTATGCAGATCAGACATTACGTCAATGTCTGATAAACAGCATTTGTAGAACTTGACAGCTCCTTAAATAGGTATCTTCAATTAATATTTTATGCTAGCGGTAATTCGATGCCTCGAAGAAAATCTGTAAAGAAACACAAACACACACAAACACAAAATAAATAAAAGATGTAAATTTCAATTTTTGTTATTTTATGACAAGAAACGAACAAAAAAGTGAGCAACCACACAATCAAGTCAAACCAAAATTAGAATATTTCTTTTCGTTTTTCTCTAATTTTCATCTTTGGCTTTGGCTAATTTGTTTATTATTCGCGTAAAACATTTCGTAAAATGATACTTATTAAAATTTATTGGACATTTGCAAATGAGTGGCGACGACATTTCTTCTTCTTCATCCAACAAACAGCCTATACACCTACACATATGGAGACGATAGTCGTTTACACATCTCAAGGTTTGGAATAACGTCATGGCAAACAAATCATAATGAAGCAACAACAACAAAAACGTTTTTCTTTCTCTCGTTAAACTTGTTAAAGTGGTCGAGGTTTAGATTTTCTATTTTTATGCGCTCAACAGAAAATGAAAAACGGATAGAGGCAGAAATGCAATTAACACAAAATGTTTGAAGCAGCAGCATTCCGTGTTCCACTACAAATCCGTCCGTATGAATATGCCACTACTCAAGATTGAAAAAAATAAGAAGAAAGATGGACTACTTTGCCATAATCTGGGGTTCCTGTTTGTCGGGCATTTGACGGAAAGCTCTTTAGCACGTTATTTCCTCGGTAGTGCAAAAAGCGTTCATTAGCGGTTGTTTAGTTAGATGTATTCGCATAATAATGGCAACAACATCAACAACAATAAGTGCAAGATTGTAAAAACAAATTATCCTTTTTTGTATCCTTTTCAATAACAGCGATGAAAATCTCATATATTTTACAGTAGTTTCGGGAGTAAACAACAATAGATAAAATGCTGAGGAACTATTCAAAATATAATTTCAGTTCTAAAGGATCCTGAAAATTATTTCTTTAGGAAAAATGTATTTAAAAAGTATGCAGGACCCCTTTTGCAGGGTTTGGTATATAGGAAAAACAATATTTGGTCCAACTTTTTTAATTAAAAAAGTATTCGGAATAATTTCTTGTATAAAAAATTCATCCTCATGACCCTGCAATATTTAAAATAGAAGGATCAAATCCACGACTTTATTAGGCCTCGAAAAAATAATTTTTAAAAATCCCTCGAAAAGCATTTATGATAAAATCCAAGCCTTTGTTGGACCTCGAAAAAATATTCCTTAAAAATTCCTCAAAAAACATTCATTATAAAATCCACGTCCAGCCCTTAAAAATATTCTTTAAAAATCCAACTTCAATATTTTTCTTTAAAAAATAGCCCTTAACAAATATTCTATAAAAATCCACCTTCAATATTTTTCTTTAAAAAATAGCCATTGAACAAATATTCCTTAAAAAATTCACTCCTCTTACAGTCCTTGAACAAATATTCTTTAAAAACTCCACGCCTTGTGTAAACTT